CAACCCTATAGGACAGAATAGAACTGCCCCATAGGGTTTCCAAGGAGCAGCTGGTGGATTTGAACTGCTGACCTTTTGGTTAGCAGCTGAGCTCTTAACCACTGCCAGGGCTCCTGAAAGCCAGTAGTATTTATTTATTTTATTCCAAACTTTTGAGCCCTTAAATCTTTTTTAACTCCAAAATTGTCACATTTGTTTGTATTTACATCCCCTTTTTTAAGGAAAAATGTACATACTATGTAAATTGTGTATTTTTTATACCCTTGTGAGGAAACCTTATAAATCATATTGCCTTAATTTTTACTAGATTTAAAATCAGTATAGGGTTAGGTACCCATACATATCACATTTTCAAAGTGTAAACAAAGATCTACATTAAAAATCTGATGTGAATTTGATATTGACTTATATTTTAGGCTGACCCCTCTCAAAGTTCTTGGAACTTCTTGAAGCCTGTGTTGATATTCCAAAAGAGAATCTACCTCGCATGGTCAACTGTTTTGCAGCAAAAACCTCTAACAACTTAGGGATATAATTTCTATTGAATATATTAAATATTTCCTCAATAATCCTGTAACACCCTATTACTGTATCTTCCTTTGCACTCATTTATGTAGTCACCAGAAAAAAGATTTCATACTAGCCTTGAACCATGTGTAATTAAAAATTCTGGCTCTTACAATACTTTAAATAGACCCCATCATTTCTCTTTTTTTGGTCTTTGCCATCCCTGTAGTATTTTATTGGCATTAACTATTGTTGAAAGGAAAAACTTTTATTAGTCAATTAGACTTAATAGGCTTTACTGAGCAATAAGCTGTTCAAGAACAGGAAGCACCCAAACAGAAAACCACAAGGCATTCCTTTAAGCAGTGCAAGTTCAGGGTTTTTAATAGGGAATTTCTAGTAGAGAAGGTATAATTTGATCTTGGGCATGTCTTTAATGGAAGGGAGGGTCTTACAAAGTAGGGGTCTTTCTGTCATTTTTGTTTTAATTGTGAAAATATACATAACTGTCTTAGGTTGGGTTCTCTAGAAAAGCAAAACCAGTAAAACATGCGTATGTTTAGAGATTTATATCAAGGAAATGGCTCACGTGGTTTTTAGAGGCTGTAAGATCCCAAGTCTGCGGGGGCAGGAAAGCGGCTTCTCCTGATTTACATAGTCACAGGGGCTGGCAAACCCAAGATCAGCAGGTCAGAAAGGAGGGCTGTTGCAGGCTTCTGATTCATGTAGCTGCAGGGGCTGGAGAGCAGGGCTGTTACTTATAGGCTGTGAAGATTGATGAATCTCAAGATTGGCAGGCAAGACCACAGGTAAGCTGCTAGCTCAAGCCTCAAGAAGCAGAGGTCAGATGAACAGGAGCCAGCAGCTGGATCCAAAATGAGCAAAATCCCTGGCAAGGAGAGCAGGAAGGACAAGGCAGCAGAGGACATAGAGATGAAGACTGAGGGAGCAGTGAGCCACGAGAAGCCCCGCATCCACCAGTACCCATCACCAGACCCCATTGTGGGGGTGATCACGTATTAAATCTCAACAGGGAAGTGATCACAACATTATATGACTGCCAAAACAGAGAATCATGGCTCAGTCGAGCTGACATACAATCTTAACCATCACAACAATTACAGAATTTCAACAATTTCTACACATACCATTCAGTAACATTGATTATATTCTTCAAGGTGTGCAACCATTCTCACTATCCTTTTCAAAATCATTCCCCCGCTATTAACAACCTCAATAACCCTGTAAGCAAAAACTCTCCGTTTCCCCATCCCTTTCATCCTTGGTAACCACTTAATAATCTTTGGTTTTTATATATTTGCTTATTTCACACAGGTGAGATCATCCAGTATTTGTCCTTTTGTAACTGATATATTTCAGCATGATGTTTTTAAGGTCCATCCTTGTGACATGTATCAGGACTTCATTTCTCTTGATGGCTGAGTAGTATTCAATTGTGTGGATATACCATCTTTTGTTTATCCGTTCATCCGTTGATAGACATTGTGGTTATTTCCAACTTTTGGCTATTGTGAAAAGTGCAGCAATGAAAATTGGTGTACAGGGTTCTCTGCAATTCTGCCTTCACTTCTCAGTATATACCTAGGATGGGGATTGCTGGGTCATATGGTTCTATGTCCATGTTCTATGTTCAACTTTTTGAGGAACCACCAAAATTTTTCACAGTGGCTAGCAATTTCACATTTCTACTAGCAGTGGATGAGGGTCCCAGTTTCTAGACAACCTTGCCAGTGCTTGTTTTCTCCTTTTTGATCATTGCCATTCTAATAGTTGTAAGGCGATATCTCATTGTGGCTTTGATTTGCAGCTGAATCAGAAAAAACTCAATGGCAACAAGTTTGTGGGTTTTTTTGTTTTTTTTTTTTTTTGGTAATGGCTAATGATGTTGAGCATCTTTCCTCTTAATTTTTAATACTAGTCTGAACATAAAAATATCACTCCAGTGCCTGAAATTATACAGTGAAGAGATCTCCATTTTTTGGTGCGTATGGCTCCACCAAAAATTCCGATGCTGTCTTGGTTGCCAGACCCACTGCTGTGGCTCAACTCCAGGGGTTCCTTCCTCCACAGTGGAGTAGGATGATGCCCCTGAGAAACTCCACTCTATGCCTGTCTTAGCTGGGTTCTCTAGAGAAGCAAAGCCAATGAAGCCTATATAGATAGATCTGTATCAAGGAAATGGCTAACGCGCTTGTAGAGGCTGGCAGATCTCAAGTCCGTGGGCCAGGCATCAGGCTGGAGGCTTTTCCTGACATAGCTGCAGGGGCTGAGGAAACTAAGAGCCACAGGTCAGACAGAAGGCTGCTGGCTCACAGGCTGTGAAGGCTGATGAATCCAAGATCTGCAGGAAAGAGGGCAGACTGCTGGCTCAAGTCCCAAGAACCAGAGGCCAGCTGTTGATAAGCCAAATGTAGGATGAAGAGCAGAGCAAAAGCCACCCAGCTTTGCCAGAAAGTACGCATATATTGGATGTAGGCCACACTCCCAAGGAAACTCCATTTCAACTGATTGCTCATAGAAGATATCAACATGGATGTGATTACATCATTATACAACTACCAAAATACATCATAAACCAAACCACTGAGAATCATGGCCCAGCCAAGTTGACACACAACCTTAACGTTCACATTCCACCACTTGTCAACTTGGCACCTGCACACATCTCCTTAAACCATACATAATCTCTGAATAAAGTCCATTATAAAATCATGCTTGCTCCTAACATAGCACTGACGTGTTGTCTTAGTCATCTAGTGCTGCTTTAACAAGAATACCACAAGTGGATGGCTTTAACAAAGAGAAATTTATTTCTTCACAGTCAAGTAGGCTAGAAGTCCAAATTCGGGGTGTCAGCTCCAGGAGAAGTCTTTCTCTCTCTCTCGGCCTTCTCATCAATCTTCCCCCAGACTAGGAGCTTCTCTGTGCAGGGACCCCGAGTCCAAAGGACATGCTCTGCCCCCAGCACTGCTTTCTTGGTGGTATGAGGTCCCCTGTCTCTCCACTAGGTTCTTTCGTATCTCAAGAGATTGTCTCAGGACACAATCCAATCTTGTAGATTGAGTCCTGCCTCACTAACACAACTGCCACCCATCCTCCCTTATTAACATCATAGAGGCAGGATTTACAGCATATAGGAAAATCACACAATACCAGGAATCATGGCCCAGCCAAATTGATAACACATTTTTTGGGGGACATAATTTAATCCATGACACGTGTACAACTGAAAATGCACTAGCCCTGTTTACATCTTATATTTTATAAATAAAGAAAAAAAATTTGATGCACACATACAAGGAAGAAATACAATAATTACAGTGTTTCTGCAACTGGTCACATGGTCATAACCGGTATTTAGAACTACCTACTTCCACCACCCATACCGTATTCCCTTTACCCTTAGCAAGCAACTCAGCTTGTCATGGTTCTTTGCCTGGTGAGGTGACCCAAACCTTCATTCCTGAAGTGTCTGGGCCGTTAGTATTCATGTCAGAATTGGGTTGCTCTAGTTTTCTATTGACTTTAATCACAGGGCATGGTAGTACTAAGAGACGTCCTAAGGGATCTCCTGCATTCAAAACATACTCTTCTTTACCTCCATTATGTAATACCAATCCAATT